GGCCCTACTTAAAATATTAGTCAGTTGTGGAAGGCCTCGTACCTACTTCTGTCACTATCAGCAGTCGATGAAGTCTAGTAAAGCAAGCAATCTCAATAGGGATGCATGCTGTTAATATTTCTATTTTACCTTTAAAAGTATAACTGCAGGGGTCACAGAGATGGTACTGGGATAAAGGTCTTCGTGCCTTGCAGGCAGCCAACCCCAGTTTGATCTCAAGCACCATACGTCCGTCTGTCCTCCAACCCCCACCAAACCATGAGGTATGACTCCAAAACAACAAAATAAGACAACTGCTTGTTCTACTGCCAGTTATTTGTTTAAGGGACCAGAACCTTTTCATGGAGAGTGTCTTTGTTTCTTTATTGCCCTTCTGTCGTGCTGCTTATCTCCTAGTTCTCTACATTGCTTCTTGTATTCTCCCCCCCTCAAAAAAAAAAAACTATACACACATGTATCATCTCATATTTTTCAGCTTGATTTTTTTCCTTTTTTTTAGTAAAACAAGAATTTAGATCCATCTGGTTAATTCTAAGTTTGGAGTCCTTGTAGGTCTTTGTGATATTTTTCCCAGTTTTTAAAACTTTATTCTCTCATGTGGTTAATTCAATAAGTAACTCTTTTTCTTCTTATTGAGAGGGGGTGGGGCACAGCAGTGCATGGGGGGCTGCTCAGGTCTCAGTGCTCAGGCGATCTTGTGCCAGGGAGCAGACGGGGGGCGGTGGGGGGCTCCCACACGCACACACGCACCCGAGCCCTTTGAGCCTCTTGTTACCACTCAGACGTTGTGCCACTCTCCTGGGCATTCTGAGATGACTCTCTCTGAAGGAATTCCAAGTTACTCAGCCCAGTTTTCCCCACCCGCACCCCACATTTTGCTAGGGTAATTAACAGTTAAGTGGCCTAATGACAATAGTAAGTTGCAGGGCCAGACTGAGACGCTAACCTCAGTCAGTGAAAGTGTGACTTACCCCGAGTGGACGTCCAATAGTCTGCAGCAGTGGCTGCACGTTGCTCTCAGTTCACGGGGACAGGGTCTGCTGTTTCAGAGCACTATGTCCGCGGAAATGCCAAAATTAAATCACAGGACCACTTCGTATCCCAAAACAGTATGAGTAATCTAGATCATGCAGTGACATATTGGAATAACGTTTATTTTTTTTAATGATCTTTATTTATTTATTTTGCTTTTTAGATCATCCCCGACGATGCACAGGGGTTACTCCTGTTTCTGCACTCAAGAATTACCCCTGGCAGTGCTCAGGGGACCATATGGGATGCTGGGAATTGAACCCGGGTTGGTCGAGTGCATATTATCTTTCTAGAAGTTGCTGAAATGACACTAAAGTATCAGTCACATCAGTATCAGCCTTCTAAATGTGTTCCTACTCTGGTTACAGTAACTGAACAACTGTCTGTTGGAAAGATAACGGCCATGGCCCAGGAGTCTGGATCAGCGTTTCTTAATTGGGGTATGAGGCCTCCCCTTTGGCCTCCAGGATATTCCATGGGGAAGCTTACGTGAAAGGTTCCTGGGGGCCACGGCCCCAGAGCAGTGGGCCAGAACAAGGGCGGGGTCTCAGGAAAGAAGAAGTGCTGGCCAGATGGCTGGGCAGTAGGGCAGGGCAGCTGCTTCTGGGTCACAGCCTTTCACTTCACTTCTGGGGGCATGAGGCCCAGACCTGTTGGATTTTGTTTATTTCTTTAAATCATGGATCAAGGGGTCCAGAGAGAGAGCGCGCGCGAGAGCACACACAGTGCTTGTTCTCCCTGTGACCAAGCCCTGTTTGATCCCTGTACCACATGGTCCCCCCCATACATCTCCACTCCAGCCCTCCTAGGTGACCTAATTACACCCCCCCCCACCCCGCATCCACAGGCCTGGTGTGAAGCCCGGGCCCAGTGAGCCAGGAATCACCTGCGTGGTCTCTAGGTCTCCTGAGCACCATTTGGGGACACTCCCCTCAAAAAAAGTAAAACTTACGTACCATTGACAAGAATTGCTGGAACTGGAATGATTTCACTTATTTTGAAGTGTCTTACAGGGATTTTATAATCAACAGTTTGGCATAAAGGGGCTGTTGACAGTAGTTTTGACAGTCTGCGTATGTAAATTTTGATGCAGTTCGACCTCAGTTTTTCCATAATTCTGATTTATGGTCTGTCGTGGTCAGTACAGTTTTTTCAGTTTGGGGAAGGGCTGGCGCACGAGCTTGTCCTACCGTTCCCAGATTCAGTTCCGGCTCCCGTGTGGCCCTTCCGGTGCTTGGGGGTGTGTTCCTCGGGCACGCAGGTATCGGGGTGCCTCCTTGATTCTCACACGGACTCTCCTGTGGAGGACGTCCGCGTCCTTCCCCATGGGACAGCCTTCCGTGTAGCGTCCCCTGCCCCGGGAAGCCCGCGTCCTCCGGGAGCGCGGAGACAGCAGGCCTAAGTCTGTCTTCAGAGTCTCGCGTCTTGCTAACAGCGCAGCCTGGAAGATCAGAAGTAGACACGTTAGTTAATGTCTTGCAAAAAGGGACAGCTGTTTCTGCTTGCTCTGCTTGTTCGTGCAACCGACAAAGGGCTGTCTGAGGAGATAAGTGGCCCGAGTTTGGTTGCTTTCTGGGGCAGGCATTCTTGAGGTATGATTTACGTGTCAGATAAATATCTTCAAACAGTCACAAAATGTATCATAAACAGAGAGAAGAGAGGCTTTTTGAAGATTCCTCCTTGGTAGAGTTTATAGTCTTACTTTCGAGTAAGAGCCAGATCAGGAAACATCTTAAGTTGGGCCGGCTACGTACGGTTTCTGTCGGGTGTTTGGGGGTGGGTTGTTTTGTTTGGGGGTTGTTTTGATTTGGGGAACAGGACCTTTTTGCCGCAGACTGGCTCGGTCGGGAACCACCAGGCTGAGGGACGTGGGAGAAGGTTTACAGGAAAGCAGGAGATTCGGCGATGACAGACAGACACCAACACAAGTGAGGTTGAGTGCTGCTGCGATTTTACTGAGCACAGAGTTCCTTTTTTATACAGTCAAGGCAAAATCATAGAACAAAGGGCCAGAATACAATCGGACATTACATCATATCGTGGTCACTTATTGGTGACATATTCCAAAAAATATCGAGGGACAAAAACACTTTCTTAATACACTTCCTGCTTCAAATTAGGACAAAACATTTACCTATGAATTCTTTACAGTGATTACACAGGATTTAATGTCTAACCATGGTTCCCCTGTTTACAGAGTTCTCTATCATTGTTTTTCTTCAGCAACTTATGTTTTCATCTGACAGGGTCTTAACCACACATCACAATCCAGGAAGGGTCTCGGACCTTCCCATATATTGGTTTGCAACACTTTGTTTTTCTGTTAATAAACTCCAGGATGTATGTACTTAGACCAGTTTTTGTATGGGGGGATAGAGGTTTCACAATGTCCCTCATTCTCTCAGACGGTAACTTATTGTTTTCTTTTATGTTAGGCACCCTTGCTTGAAATTAAGGGCTGTACTGTATGCTAAGGATCTAATTGTTTCAGCCACAATATTTGGCGGTTTTTCTGGCTCCTGTTATTGTTTGGTTTCACTTATGACTCCTGACCTTTGTCAAACCTAACATCTCCTTAGTTTCCTACAGATTTCACAATGATTAAAAGCAAACTATAACTACAAAGCTTCTACTTATTAATTCTAAATACCTAACTTATAAGTAAAATTGGCAGGCAACCATTATGAACTCCATCCGGGATGCAGAAGAGCCACATACCAAAGTGCCACAGAAGCACACAAAGCAGGATAAGAAAAAGGGGGCGCCGGAGGCATAGACCCGAAGGTCGCGAACCTCCCTTTCCCGCGGGACCTGGGCCAGGCCCGGGCCACCTTAGCAGGTTGCTACGCGGGCGACACCGTTGACGGCGTGGCACCTTTTTGTGCTTGGGGGCTTCATCCAGCTCAGTCATCAGAAGTTGCTCCTGGTGGTGCTCTGGGGACCCGGTGGCCTCAGGAGGGAAGTCAGACCCCCCACTCAGCCCTCAAAGCTTCCTCTCTCTCCGCTCTCTGGGTTCTTGCTTATGTTTGTTTATAAATCCAGTTACAAGGGTAGCACTGTCCTTCCGTTGTTCATCAGTTTGCTCGAGCGGGCATCAGTAACTTCTTCATTGTGAGACTTGTTACTGTTTTTGGCATATCGAATACACCACGAGTACCTTGCCAGACTCCCTGAGAGAGCGGAGGAATCGAACCCAGGTCAGCCACATGCAAGACACCCTACCAGCTGTGCTATTGCTCCGGCCCCCGTTACAAGGGTTAAGAAAAGCCATTCTCAATGTCCACACAAGCAGTTCACAGCCTCTATTTGACCCTCTGCTCTAGGCTAGTACCATCCACTAGAAATAGAACTTCAGCCATCTGTGTGACTTTAAATTTTCCAGTAGCCACATTAAAATCTGAAAAACATTAAACTGTAAAATGTTTTGTTTTGTTTGGGGTCTGCACCTAGCTGTGCTCAGGACCTATGCCTGGCTCTGAGCTCAGAGATCACTCCTGGGGAGCCTAGGGGACCAGATGGGGGTCAGGGGTGGAACCCGGCTCAGCTGTGTGCAAGGCACGTGCCCTCCCCGCCGTACTACATCTGTAGCCCCAAAACTGTAGCTTTTAAGAAGTTGAATACAGAACATACTTTTCCTTTTGTCGTATTTGAGGTAGTACTTGAATTCTTTCAGGTAAGGAGGCAGAAATCAGTGTGTTGATAAAATAAGGTGGGTGCATGCGCACAAGAAACCCAGGTTTTTGAGTGAAACCTTTTTCCTGAGTTCTGAGTATTCTGTTGAAAGGAAATGAAAATTGAGGACCAAGGGTCTGGTGACCACCTGACTACCAAAGGAAATGTTTGCGTTGTCCCTGTAGCGAAATCCTTACCCATCACCACTGAAAGAAGGGGAGCGACTACTGCTGTTTTGGCTGTTCACGCACAACTCTAAATAACTGACTTTTCTCTTTTTTTCTATTTTGCCTTAGTTCATATAGTCAATGGATAAAGTGGGGAAGATGTGGAATAACTTCAAATACAGGTGTCAGAATCTGTTCGGCCACGAAGGAGGAAGCCGGCCCGAGAACAAGGACCCGAGCTCCCAGCGCTGCTTGTCTGTCCGGGAGAGGCGGGGGGGTGTGGTGGACGCGGCCCCCCAGCAGCAAAGCAGCCCCCTCCGGGAAAGCGTGGCCTTGCAGCTGGGGCTAAGTCCCGCCAAGAATCCTTCGAGGAGAAGCCAGAACTGCGCTGCGGAAATTCCCCAGATTGTGGAGATTAGCATTGAAAAGGATAACGATCCCTGCGTCATCCCAGGAACGAGACTCGCACGCCGAGATTCCTACTCCCGACATGCCCCATGGGGTGGGAAGAAAAAGCATTCCTGTTCTACAAAGACGCAGAGCTCGCTGGACAGTGGCCGCGGGCTGGGCAGGACTCGGGGCGGGCTGCCCCGGAGGGAGCGGCGGCTGGGGGTCAGCTCCCTGCACGACATGGACAGCGCAGCAGGCAGGGCGGCGGGTGCCCGCTCCCTGAGGCAGCGGCTGCAGGACACCGTGGGCCTGTGCTTCCCCGTGAGGACTTACAGCAGGCAGGCCAAGCCCCTGTTCTCCAACAGGCGGAAAATCCACCTCTCCGAGCTGATGCTGGAGAAGTGCCCTTTCCCGGCGGGCTCAGACTTAGCCCAGAAGTGGCACCTCATAAAGCAGCACACGGCACCCGTGAGCCCGCACTCGACCTTTTTCGATACGTTCGATCCGTCCTTGATCTCCACCGAAGACGAGGAAGACCGGCTTCGTGAGCGGAGGCGGCTTAGCATCGAGGAAGGGGTTGACCCGCCTCCCAACGCACAAATCCATACGTTCGAGGCCACCGCGCAGGTTAACCCGTTGTATAAGCTGGGACCAAAGTTAGCTCCGGGGATGACAGAGATCAGCGGGGACGGCTGCGCAGCCCCTCCTGCTGGCTGCGACCCGGAGGGGGACTCCACCACGCTGTGCTTGCAGTCCCGCAGGCAGAAGCAGCGCCAGGCGTTGGGGGACGGCCACCCCGGCAGGCAGGGCGCGTGGAAGGTGCACACGCAGATCGACTACATCCACTGCCTGGTGCCCGACCTGCTGCAGATCACGGGCAACCCCTGCTACTGGGGCGTGATGGACCGCTACGAGGCCGAAGCCCTCCTGGAGGGCAAGCCCGAGGGCACGTTCCTGCTCAGGGACTCGGCGCAGGAGGACTACCTCTTCTCCGTCAGCTTCCGCCGCTACAACCGCTCCCTGCACGCCCGCATCGAGCAGTGGAACCACAACTTCAGCTTCGACGCCCACGACCCGTGCGTCTTCCACTCCTCCACCGTGACGGGCCTCTTGGAGCATTACAAAGATCCCAGCTCCTGCATGTTCTTCGAGCCGTTGCTCACCATCTCGCTGAACCGGACCTTCCCCTTCAGCCTGCAGTACATCTGCCGCGCCGTCATCTGCCGCTGTACCACCTACGATGGCATTGACGGGCTGCCGCTCCCTTCCATGCTGCAGGACTTCCTCAAGGAGTACCACTACAAGCAGAAGGTCAGGGTCCGCTGGCTGGAGCGGGAGCCCGTCAAGGCCAAGTGAACGCTGGCGGCCGCCCAGGGCCTGGACTCCGTCCCGCTCCCCGTGCCCACACAGTACACGCGCGGCGAGCACGCGGGGTTAGTGTCTGTCAGGCATGCTCTGCGCGCTCCCAGACAGACACAGACATCCTCACAGTGTGAGGATGAGGGGACGGTGTGATAAGCCTGCAGAAATGTCACCGAGGGGTGGGTTTCCGATGGCTGCAGTAGTTGAGGCAACTCTGGGGCATTTGCTACAAAGAATTTTATTTCTTACTGGAGAACAAATTATTAATATTGGATGAGGATCTCAACAGTGTGACTAATATTTGAAATTATTTTTTCTAAGAATTTTTCTATAACCTTCTGAAAGTAGAGTAGTAATGTTTATAGTTTCAATAAATCAAGCTTTGGAAGTAAGAAAAAAAGGAATAGACTGCCTTCCTTTTCTGGAGGGGGGAAATGCAATTTTTTGGCCATAAGGGCATAGTGCAGTTAAGTGTTGATAATAGTTTCTAGTCAGTCTCCCTTTCTCTTCTGCAAAAGGTACTTGTTAAGGAAACCAGGTTTTCTGAGTAGTAGTTATTAAAATTTCAGACTTAAGAAAAGTTGGTAGTAGAATTTTATTTAACAGCCTTAGGCGTTGTTTTTTGTTTTTTGGGTTTTTTTTTAACAAGTGCTTTAACTTAAAACACATTTGGAATAGCTGCTGCAATATAGTCCCGTGTGTGTGTGTGTGTGTGTGTGTGTGTGTGTGTGTGTGTTTAAGTTAACATGTGCAGTCTTAATTGTTGATTTGTTAGAGTGGACCTTTTTCTGTATGCCCATGCTGAGTTTGTGAACCATGGAAAAATGAGACTAGAAAATGCCCACACAAGTCAGAATAACAGCTACAGTGGTTGCTACGGTTGAGATTACTGTTAAACTGTAATTAGTAATTTGGATGGCAGTATTTCTCTCTTCGTTGTAAACTCTCATAGTTGAATTACTTAAGTACAGCTTACATAGAATTTCAGTGCAGTTCATTTTCAGTGGAAAATCTGAAGCCTGATATGCAGATCTAAAAGGTACTGTACATCCACGTGTCTGTAAATAACTTTACTTAGCAGCTTTTTTGTCACAATAGAATAGTAGGCAATACTACTTGAGTGAGCCCTTTTGGAAGTAATGCCAAGTTCTAGTGTCTGCTTCTTAGTATTGAACTGCATTTACAGTTCTGTCTTAGACATTTGCACTACGGCAGTCAAATCCGTTCTGTGTCTTTTCTAAAATGTGTTTGTACCTCTGGTGAGTGCTCCTTAGTTCCCTTACCTGCTGCTCCAGAAAGGTACTTTATACCCTGATGGCTATTGCCAAGGCTACAAGAAAGAAAAGCTATATTTGTATGCAACACTAACTCTTGGACTGCTAATGTGCGTTTCTGCTTGCTGTGCCTTGTTATGGCTGCTTTTTTGTGCTAATAAAGTATGTTTGGTGTTCTCCTTGTATATCTGCTGTTTTATACATTTGCAACAATTTCTCTTGTAAATGGTTTGGGGTTTTTAAGCAAGCATTACCTGACAACCTACTATAATTAATGCAGAATTACTGTACAGTCTGTTATTTGACTAATTCCAAGGAAGTGAACTTAATCCCATATACTGTGGAGCAGTATGTGTAATTACTTCAAATTACTGTACAGTCCAGTTTATCACAGAGAGCAGAAACATTGGCCACGTCGATTGATTTCTCTGCTCTCAGTGAAAGTGAGACTAACAGTGATAGGCTAGAGTAAATGAATCTCGTACTTCTCACTGCATCCGAAACAAGTTAACTGTACTAATGACAGCATCAGCACCACTTACCGGTTAGGGGACCATTTTAACTAATAAATGCCCAAAATGTAGAACTTTTACCAAAGATGTGTCCATTTTAAAGCAAAATGGGGATTGAAGGGACTTCAGTTCCTATTATTTCTAATGGAAGTCCCTGAAGAACATATACCAAAGTGTTTGAGAACTTCATCCAAACCTACTTTAAAGCAAATGTGCAATTAAGTTGTTACGACATAATTATATTGCATAATTGTTGGGTCTGTTTTCTTGAGCTTATAATGTACCTGGAAAATAAACCTCTTGGAAAATAAAAAGTCCATATGATTATTGGAGAAGGACTCTATATGCAAACGAGATCTTGTTTTAAAGAGGTAACTTGAAACTCCAAGAAAGCACTTGATGTTTTATATGCTCGTAGCAAATTGATGTTCTAATTGTAGTTTTATAGAAAGTATTAGTGGTTTTATGTATTTCAGAACTTTCATATGTTACATGGAAATTGTTTTAATGTGTAAATATTTGAGTTTGTGTAAGCATGTATACACTGCGCTAAAAGTCAAGTTTCAATTTGTATGTAATATTAATATGAAACTTTAGGTTAAAAATTTTTCTCAAAAGAATTAGTGGCTTACATTTTCAAAAAGAAGAATCACCAGCATGAACTTGCACCTCAGTCTAACTCACTGTGTGTTTTTTGAATCCTATTGTGGCCTGTCAACTTCATTGGTGATTTCATGGTGTTTTTGAAGTGCAATTTAATATGAACCAGGACATTCTTTGGAACTGTGGACTGGACACACCATCATAGTGGAGTATTAAAGCTAAAGAAAGATGGTTCTGGTTCACATCATTCTCATCCTTTCCTGGACGTTGTCTCAGTGAATGGAGATGACTGCACGCGGACAGTTTTCATTCATGATATAACCATAAACACTAATACTGCCGTTGGATTTAAAATCAGAGGGATTTTAAATCCAGAGAGATAGTACAGCAGCTAGCGCATTAGCCTTTCATGGACTGATTCTGGTTCAAGCCCCAAAGGCCCATATGTCCCCTGAGCCCGCTAGGATTAATTCCTGAGTGCAGAGCCAGGAATAACCCCTGAGCATTGTTGGGTGTAGAAAAAATTAAAATAAAGGGGCCAGAGAGTACAGTGGTGAGGCACTCACCTTGCATGTGGCCAACCTAGGCTTGATCATTCTCACTACATATTATCCCCCAAGCCCTAACAGAGTATGCCCTGAGCATAGACGTGGCCAAAAAGAAAATAATTTACATCTCTGTTATCCTTATGTCGTTCAGTTTTAATGATCTGCATCTAATGTTGAGTCTTTCTACTCATTTGTATTAACTTACATAGAAAAAGCATTGATCTAGAAATTCATTCTGCCTCAACTCAATAAAAAAATTTTCGTTGCCAGACCCATAGTACAGCAGACAGGGTGTTTGTCTTGCACACTGCTAAACTGGGTTCAGTTCACAGCATCTTCTATTGTCTCCTAAGCCCACCGGGAGTGAGCACAGAGACAGGAGTAAGCCCTGAGCACTGCCAGGTTCGCCTCCCCCCCCCCCCACTTCAAAAAGTGTGGTTGTTTGTTTTTCTTAAGCAGTTTGGTTTAAATACATACTATAATTTAATTTATATTTCTCACGCAAGAATTGAGCCTCAGTCATGCTCCACAAACTGTCTCTCTGGAAGTTTACACAAAATTGCTAAACTTGATGCTTGAATTCTGAACTTCATTTGGACAAAATTCAAAGTTTACAAGTACTTTTATTTGATATTTTGGGCTGGTTGCTGTTAATCTTCATCTCAAGCTTCCTGACACTATAACCCAGTATGGGTGGGTCTTGCCATATCGAACAAAGGAATCTTAGGTTTAAACAAAGGACTCTCATGCAAAAGTAGGAGACTTGGATCTCTCTTTTCTTTTTTTTTTTCTTTTGTAACAAAGATGCTTTTTGCATAGAGTCAAAGCCGCTCTGCATCAGCCCTCTTCTAGGACAGATGCAGAAAGATGCACAGTTGTGCTTCCACCTCTTACACAGCAGGGCACGTGGCTCGCGATTCCTTCCACATTCTGTTCCTCAACACTTAGGGTCTCACCTAGATAAAATTCACTGAAATCATTTTCAGAGGGAACAGATTCAGTTCTCACGGTGTGCTTGTGAGACCCAGGCTTTTTTTCTGATTTTTGAAACAACCAATAGAGAACTTAGTCTTTTTAAAAGACACGTTTTAGTGAAGTTGGGGGGTGGAATTTTTGTGGGAGGTTTGGGGTGGGGGCCGAGCATGCAGCTAGAAGGGTTGACGTTATAAAGTATGACTAGTTGGAGAAATATTTTCATGCCCGGTAAATTTGAGTTGCATAGATTTTGTAATCATCCAACATGAGTGTGTGAATATGAAGATTCACAAACCAGTCGCTATTTTAGTTTCGAGGCATGCATACTAGAGTGTAAGATCAAGTTAAGGGGCGTTGGGGAATAATGACCTTAGATGATGAGAAGGGCCTCTGAGATCAAAAAGGAACATTTTGATGAACGGTGAGACAATGTGGCAGAATAGGAGTGAACTTACATACTGAGAGAATGCCTGGGGAGGGATCCACGACTCGGGGGAATTCGCATCATAGTCTTATGGACTGGAAATACTCGACCATGTAAGCGTATTTGGAGTTTGGATTATATGAGTGTTACAGTAAAACCACTGGAAGATGTTAAGGGGTGGAGCAGGGCATTCTGCTCTGTTACGTGGTAGGACGGTGATAAGGGGACAACACAAGAACACTTGTCCTCTGGGTGAGAAGTCACAATCCAGATATTTAAAAACACTGACACCAGTTAGCAACAGCTAGAGATTTTGCATGAAGTTAAGAACCGCTTTGGGACAGGAAGTGCTCACGACAATATTCCCCTTGGGCAGATCAAGATGCTGTCCATTTCATTTTCAAGAGTTTTGCCTCCTCTTACAGCAGTTGGAATGACTGGGGGTGATGTGCGCTTGGTTGTGGTACTTACCTGGGTCACACCTGGTGGCAGTGCTTGCACACTCCCCTGAGCTGCTGACTGGGCTTCACACTGGGGGAAGCCAGGAGTCCCAAACAGAACCAACGAAGACCGTACGGTTGTCCATGTGGGTGACGCTGAACTGCTTGCAACGCAGGAACTTCCAGCTGCTGAGACCCCCCACCCCCACCCTCGGTAGATTTTAATCTATATACTTTCACTAGACTATTTCCTTCCCAAAAAGATTTAGAATACGAACTCTGAACTTAAAAACTTGAACAGTGTCAATTTGGGTGCCAGTCTTCCCATGCAGGTTTTTTTTTTAGTGCAAATTACATGAGAAATACAAGTTCAGTGTGTAATATTAGGAATTCCTTTAAGATTATTAGAATAAGCACTCCCCTAAAAAACATATATATATGTTCCATTCTTCCAGAGGTAACTTATACTGAGTGATAGCATAGCGGGTAGAGCGTTTGCCTTGCACACGGCCGACCCAGAGGGTTCGATTCCTCCACCCCTCTTGGAGAGCCCAGCAAGCTACCAAGAGTATCTCGCCCGCACGGCAGAGCCTGGCGAGCTCCCCGTGACATATTCGATATACCAAACAGAGTAACAACAAGTCTCACGATGGAGATGTTACTGGGCCCGCTCAAGCAAATCAATGAACAACGGAGGACAGTGCTGCTATCTTTTATTGCATCTATAACAATCAAAATTTTAAAAATAAAGACATAACATGTAGAGAGAGTAAATGGTGTTGGTATGTCTTAAATCACTTTCAGATGATGAACTCCAAATTCTACTCTTGCCCCTTCTCTGGCTTTGTAGGCAATAATTTCATGGTTAGAGTAACATTACAAAGGCCTGGGCGCTGAGGAGTTCTTGAAAATAAATTTCAGTCAGAGATGAGAAGCTTCACTTCAAGGAATTTATAAACCAGTGGGAACACACAGGCCAATAAATATATAATGGAAGCATGCCAAACAAAAGTGATTGAGCAAAAACTGGTTGGTTGGTCATTGAGGAAAAGCCAATAAGTGACGCAAATGGAGGGAACAGGAGCTGATGTCTGCGACTTTGAGTCACAGAGTGTAAGAATTTGACTTCACATAGGAGTATCTCGCCCGCACGGCTAAGCCTGGCAAGCTACCCATGAGGTATTCGATATGCCAAACAGAGTAACAAGTCTCACAATGGAGACGTTACTGGGCCCGCTTGAGCAAATCGATGAACAACAGGAGGACAGTGCTATAGTGCTAGGTGTTCAAGCGACTGTATGTGGAAGAATAGAGGTAAGAGGTAACTAAAGAAAGGATTAAGATAGAAAATTCTGGGGCTGGAGCGATTGTACAGTGGTAGGACATTTGGCTTGCACACGCTGACCCGGATTCGATCCCTGGCATCTCATTTGGTTCCCGAAGCACCACCAGGAATAAACCCTGATCATCGTGGGGTGTGACCCAAATAAGAAAAAAGAATTTTATGATCATAAGGGGGGCTATAGAGAGAACGGTGGGTAGGGTGCTTGTCTGGCTTGCGGTAGACTCAGATCTGATCCCCAGCACCCCACAAGTGCCATCAGAAGTGATTCCTGAGTGCAAAACCAGGAATAAACCCCACCCCAAAAAGAGTTGCTTGATCATAGCATCTGAATATGAGACCAAAGTGTCCCAACTTCCCTAGGTTCTCAAGAATATAAAGTTAGAGAGTATGGCAGATAAAATTAGATGAAAATATAATTTAAACCGTTCATCTGAGAGAATTAATATAATTTATTATATTATAATTTATTAATATAATTTATATTATTGAAACATATAAACACATTATATCATTGAAACAATTATTAAAATATTTGTATCATTGAGTTACAAAGATGGTCTGGATTTGAGGCATACAATGCTTCCAACTCCTGTCCCTCCACCAGTGTCCTCTGTCTTCCACCAGTGTCCTAGTTTCCCTCCCACCACGCTCCAGCCCACTCCACCTGCCTCTGTGGCAGACATTTGACACTTTTGAAGGGCACATTTTAATGCACAAAGCTACTATTTCATCACATCAGGTGGGGGGAAGAGTGGGGAGACTGACTGCACTTATGCAGAAAATGGAAAGTTAGATAAAGTAGAAAACATCAGAAAACATTTTTTTTCACTCCACAAAATTGTTAAAAGGTAGTTAGTACTTAAAAGTTACTTTTGTGATTGATGCTGTTTTTCTCATTTCTTAATTTGAGGAGTGAAAATTGCATTGGTGGTTTATTTAGTAGTTGGCACAACATTTACAAATGTATATTGTTATTGCTTAATATTTCTCTAGATATTTACTAAGCATTATTTCTAACCACAAATTCAAGATTTTAGGTTATTTAAAAGTAACATTTATCTTTACACAGTGGCTTATCTCATCATCTTAGAGCCATACAGGTACATCATACACATAGTACTACCTGGCTTTTTATTCACTTCTGTTTGTAGAATGGATTCAGACGATATTTTAAAAAATCAAACTGGAATAATTTAAAGCTTTGGAACCTACATTTTACAATCGATTAGGCACCATAGAAGATATAGACAGTATTGAATTTCAGTGCCATCACATTTGGGTACCATAGTTCCAACACTGATGTGCATTTGTAAATTGTATCTTTATTTCCTTTTAGCATTTTCTTCTAATGATGATGATAATAGAACACAAATTAATCTCTCATCCTTCAGACAGATAAGCTGAGGCACTATAGTTTCTTGGTGATGTAAATAAATCCAGTGTAAGGGCTTATATTTTATCTAGAAACAGTTCTATCAGGGTGATGTACCTAAAATAACC